GGCTCAGGCGGCGCTTCCCCGGGTAAGGGCTGGCGGCAGGGGCCTGCCACTGGGTCCGAGGTGCCAGGCGCTGCGGTCACCCTGCAGGCCGCACGCGGGTGGGGGACGTTTCAGCTCTGCCCGGGCTCCCTGAGCTCCCTCGATGCTCCGTGCCCGGGAAGCTGGTGTGGGCCTGGTGGGCCCCGCGCGGGCGATGGCCCCGGGCTGGCGCTCCCGTGGTGGCGAGGGAGGACCTGCTGCGGTCCCGCAGGGCACTGGCCAGCGCAGGGTGAGGGCTCCTGCGGGCCAGGCTGTTGGGGCCAGGCCTGCTGGCCGGCGGCTGGCGGCTGTCCGCCCTGCTCCACGCGGGTCCCTCTGCCGTGACGCTTCCTGTGCGGGGCCCCCAGGGCCTCAGACGTGGCTTTGTTCAGTTCTGCTGTGGCGTGCAGGGCCCTCCGGGGCCACTGTCGGTCTCAGAACGTGGCGGGCGCCGCGGCCGTCTCTGCGGGGTCAGGCCAGCGCTGGCCGGCCCTGCGACGGGGTGCTGGTCTTGAGGCTCCGGTCGCAGGTGCGTTGCTGCCCTTTGGGGTCTCGCCTGGGGTCCCCTTGACAGGCCGCCCGCCCCGGCCTGGCGCAGCTCGCCCGTGGCCCTCGGGGCCTTGCGCCCCGGGCAGGTCCCGCCTGAGCTGCTCCTGGGGCCACGGGTGAGTGGGCCCCGTCCAGTGCTCGGGGCTGCTGTGCACCCCCTCCGCTGTCCGTGGGGTCCCCCGCAGCAGAGTCTGGCGCCACCGCACCGCCTGCCCAGGCCTCGGAGCAGTGCTGGGCCTGGCTCCGCCCCAGCCGCGTGGCCACACGCCCCGTTGTGCCCCGGCGCTGGGACGCGGGCTCAGGGTGGCGCCGGTGGGAGGCGTTTCCCGGTTCTTTTGCTTCTGGGCTTGAGGTTTGCTGGCTCTCGGCCGGCGTTCAGTCTGGCGGTTCCGGGGCGCCAGGCTGTTCTGGGGCCGCCCTGCGTGCCCCGTCCACCACGGATGGGGGTGGGCAGCGGGTCCGGCCCTGGGGCCTGGGGCGCGGGTCGTGGTCTTGGTGGGTGACGCGGCCGCCTGGCTGTCGCTGGGAGTGTGGTCTCGGGTCTTGCCCATTTCCTGGTCAGGTTGGTCTTGCTGCGCGAGGTCTCGTGTGGATGTGGCTTGGCAGCCCCTGGCGGGGTCCGAGTGTCCAGTGCAGGGGCCGCGCGCTGCTTCACGCTGAGCGTGCCCCCCTGCGTCCACGGCAGCAGTGCGTGGCCTCTGGCGTCGGGGGCGCCCCTGGGGCCTCGGCTCCAG